GGGTCGCAGGTTGGTCGCGGAGCGGGTCGCGGGTGGGACGACGCACAACACGCAACAAGCAACAAACAACAAACAACAAGCAACAACAGCAACAGCAACAGCAACCAACAACCAACAACCAACAACCAACAACCAACAACCAACAACCAACAACCAACAACCAACAACAACAACAACAACAACAACAACAACAACAACAACAACAACAACAGCAACAGCAGCAATCATTTTAAGACTGTTCGTTCTTACTTGCCCGCGTGCCATGCAACGTGTATACCCACGCCCTCGATACCCGCCCCCTTCGTCTTCGAGCGTACCCCCTTCTGGGGGGATTCCTTCTTTTTGCGGGGGCGGGCGGGCTTAGACAAGCGGGCGTGAACGGGCGGTGAATTATTCGGAGGATGGGGCACGCATCTCTTTGCCCACCATTGGAATTAGCGCGGGCCCTGCAAGAAGAGGAGGGGGGAGAACGAGGGAAAGTGGGAGGAAGGGAGGGGAAGGGACGAGGTTAACGGGGAACTCGCCAGGAGAGAGGGGGGGCGAGGAGGGGGGGGGGACGATTGGAGATAGAGAGACAGAGGAGGGAGGAAGGAGGAGGCTGGAGAGGGGAGGGCGAAGAGATGAGGGAGGAGGGTTATGGGAGGAGGGTGAGGGGAGAGAGGAAAAGGGAGGAGGCGGGTGGATATGAGGGAGAGGGGAGGAAGGGGCAGGAGGGTAAGAGTGTGAACGTTCGAGGAAGCCCTAGGCGAGGGCGTATTCCTCAAGGAAGAATTGGACGGGAGCGGGGGTCCCGAGTACATTGTCGGACGTCTCAGGCGGGAGCGACGGTCGGGCGGGCGGACCCTGACGGGCGGGTCGGGCGGGCGGGACATTCAAACGGGATTTTTGCGTAAATTGCGAGGAAGTATTAAGCGAGAGCGCGATTCCTAAGTAAATTGCGAGGGCGTCCTTGGCACGAGCGTGGTTCCTGAGCGTCGAGAACGCGATGCTGCCATAAATTGCGAGGAAGTCCTATCCGAGAGCGCCATGCCTGAGTAAATTATGAGGAAGTCTCGGGCGGGAGCAGGGGTCCTGATTAAGGAAGTCTCAAGCGGGAGCGCCGCTTCTGAGTAAAATGTGAGAAAGTCCGAAGCGGGAGCGCCCTCCCGGAGTAAATTTTGAGGAAGTCTCAGGCGGGAGCGGGGGTCTTGAGTAAATTGTGAGGAAGTCTCAGGCGGGAACCGTTGTTGTTGTAGTCCGGGGCCCAACAACGCAATCTGATCCGCAAGGCTTTCCCTGTCAAAAAACAGGGTGCGAGCCCCGGAGGAAGCACTTCAATTGAAAAAACAATGGGCACCGGACAGGGGGATCAACAATAATTATTCTTCAGAAATGAGAATTCAACCACAACAACAACAACAACAACAACCAACAACCAACAACAACAACAACAACAACAACAACAACAACAACAACAACAACAACAACAACAAGAATCCGCATCGCGGAATTTCACTTCAGCCACGTACCCAGGGACAGTGAATGACCGTTCGGTTCAGCCCCCCCTCGCTCTGATGAAGTCCGACTATACGCGGCCCCAGACATTCCCACCCCTTCCCTGGGGGTGGGTCTTCCCGCGATCCGATTTTTTTATTATGGTCCCAGGCCCGAAATAACGGCCCCCCGAAGGCCGAAATCGAGGAACAAGCGTGCGGATCGAAAAAACACATCGTCGGAGGTTTCGTAGGAGGAGGAGGAGGAGGAGGAGGAGGAGGAGGAGGAGGAGGAGGAGGAGGAGAGGAGGAGGAGGAGGAGGAGGAGGAGGAGGAGGAGGAGGAGGAGGAGGAGGAGGAGGAGGAGGAGGAGGAGGAGGAGGAGGAGGAGGAGGAGGAGGAGGAGGAGGAGGAGGGAGGAGGAGGAGGAGGAGGAGGAGGAGGAGGAGGAGGAGGAGGAGGAGGAGGAGGAGGAGGAGGAGGAGGAGGAGGGAGGGGAGGGGGAGGAGGGGGAGGAGGGGCAGGAGGAGGAGGGGGAGGGGGGAGGAGGAGGAGACGGAGGAGGAGGAGGAGGAGGAGGAGGAGGAGGAGGAGGAGGAAAGGAGGAGGAGGAGGAGGAGGAGGCAATATCACAAAGGAGGTAGACGAGCTCGTCGGCACCTGGCACAGCGTGGAGGTGCGGGCGCTGGTCTTCCTGCGCGGCGGCGGGCTGCTGTGCGCGGAGGTGGCGCTGAGCGACGGCGAGGGCAGCGAGCAGCTGCGGGCGCTGGCGGGCGACGGCTGGCGGCCGCACATCACGCTCCTCAGCTCCTACCCCTATCAGGCCAGCGACCGCCGTGCATGGCCACGCCTCCCCTGAGATCCTGGCGTACCCGGAGGTCCAGCGTGTTGAACAAAATCAAGACGGAGGTTTTTCCAAACTTTCGGCCTTTAGCGGCCCTCGCCGGGCCCCGGGAGTGTCAAGAACCGACTCGGGATGAAAAGTCAGTCCCGAGGAAGGGGTCGAGACTTCCGGGGACCCCGCATGGAAAAAATCACGACATCGGATCTCTGGGTATGGCAACTGGCGATGCTGCCTTGCTTGGGGCCGCGGGACCTCACAAACCGATCTGGTTCGAAGATTGCCGCAGAAAGATGGGCTCCGGTGCTCTGGAGGCCCCCCCGACGACTCCTCGAGTCTTGAAGCCTCCTCAGCTCCCACCCCTATCAGGCCAGCGACCTTCGTGTACCCCCATCTCCTTTCGCCATAAGCAAAAAAACGGCTCGAGGTTGAAGATTTTCTTACGTGTTCGGGTTCGTCAGCGGTTTTGCAGCCTTGGGATGTTGTCAGGCAGCTGCGCCTCGTCGAGAGCGTTCCGGGGATGCCCCGATCGTCCCGAACGGCCGCCACAGACCCGAGTTATGGCCCGAAATCTCGAGGCCCCCAGAGGGTCTGCATGGAGACATCTCCTGATTGGGAGAGCTTCGGACTCCTGCGGACCTGGAGCACTCCTTGGAAGCCTCCCTGAGGACTCCTCTGGAGGAGTCCTGAGGCCTCCTCAGCTCCTACCAGTATCAGGGCAGCGACCGTCGTGTATCGCTACTTCCTTTCGTTCTGTCTCCAAATCTAGTTTAGCATCGGAAGACATCTGCGGGCGTTGCTGGTGTGGTTGCTTTCGTATCTGGGGTCGACGTTGGGCCCACTTCTTGGTCGTAAAATTGTGTTGTTACGGTAGGTTCGTGTCCTGTCGACTGGCGGCGACCCCGCCAGCGGCGTTCAACGTTGAACGCCGCGGGCGACCCAGAATCGTTCGATGTGGAACGGTTTGGACGTTTCGGAAACGGCCGATCGTTCAAGGTTGAACGATCACCGCGGTGTCAGAAACCAACGCCGAAGTCGGCACAACATGAACCTGACGTACAGTTGGGGCGCGCATCAAGAAACCATATGCTTTTCGTCAGGGTATCCTGGGTTTCCTCGCTCCTCGCGCTGCGCGGTGACTTCCCGCAGCCGTTGAAGGAGACGTTGCGTTCAGGGTGCTCCAGGTTTCCCCTCCGGTGCACCTCGCACACGGGTTCTGAGGGTTGCGCTTCTTGCGAGGGTCTCCTGTGGCCGCGCCCGCACTGTACCTCGCTCCTGAGGTCCCGGAGGCGTCGGAGGCGTCGGGGAGCCCCAGGGGCCCCAAGACAGCCACGAGCGCTCCAGAACTCGCTGCCTCCGACGCCGCGCCTCTCGGCGAGGTGGACTGCCGGGGGGGGGGGGGCCCGAAGACCTCGAAGAAGGGCCAGGAGCAGCCAGGAGCCCCGAGGGGGCCGTGCTTTTTTGTCGCAGGGTCGCCTGCGGGGGGGCGCCCGTAGGCCTCGAGAAAGGGCCACGGGCAGCCAAGAGGGCCCAGAGGATCGTGACCTTGTCGCCGCGTGGTCCCCAGGGGGGGTCCGGTGGGCCTGCTCCCCCGGGGCGGGCTGGAGGGTTTCTCCGAAGGGCTTAGGCGACCCCTCCCCCTCCTCCTCTCCTCTCCTCCTCCTCCTCCTCCTCCTCCTCCTCCTCTCCTCCTCCTCCTCCTCCTCCTCTTCCTCCTCCTCCTCCTCCTCCTCCGCCTCCTCCTCCTCCTCCTCCTCCCCCTCCTCGCCCTCCCATCCTCGGGTCGCCTACGACCTCAGGGGAGACCGTCCAGGGCGGGCGTTTCCAGGGGAACAGAAAGTGGCATACACATAAAAACTCGGAGGTCCGCGCGGATTTCTCGGATCGGCGCTGGATGAGGGTAGGGAAACGAACAACGACATGCACGTGAAAAATCGGAGGTCCGTGCGGACCTCCCAGTTTTTATGTTCACGTCACTCTTTGTTCCCCTAGTTTCTCATCAAGCGTGGCCTCTTGAGCGCAGGGGGTCCTGGAGGCCGAAAAGAGCTGCCTCCCGAGCTGCGTCGTGGCCTCCTCGCGCCGAGGGGGCGTTTCGAGGGTCCAGGGGCACGTGCCCCCCCCCCCTGCACTGCTCGCATCAGGCCCCTCGTCTGGGCCTCCTGATGTCGGGGGTGGACAGAAGCCCCAACAGTGACACGTCGATTAGTGAATTGTTCGTTTTCGGTTCTCGAGAGGGCGCCGTGGCTGCTATTTTCCAGGCTTGCGCCCGCCAGGTTCGGGCCTCAGGTCGTTTTCACTAAACCACGTTTTACGAAAGGGAGGTCTGTCCATCCCCGACTGGATGGGGTCCGAGTACAGTCGGCCTGGATTAGCAGGTCGACCCTGCCAGCTCAAGGGTACCCTCTTGTCCTGTGCCTCGCGACACGTGCCTTCTTACACTCCGATGGCGATGCGGCCCTCGGAAGGGTCCTGTGCCTTCTTGCGTGTCCTGTGCAATCAAGGCCGACTGTAGGTGGGGTCGGAGGATCGCGCCGCATCGCCGATGCGGCTCGATGCGGAGCCCGACTTTCGCCGCGCCGACGGCGCCAATGCATCGCGGGCATCGATCGCAGGTGCATCGCCGATGCATCGCCGATGCATCGCCGATGCATCGCCGATGTACCGGCGATGCGGCGCGATCCTCCGACCCCATCCGCTCCGACCCCATATAGGAGGCCTCTATCACGCTCACCGCTCGCACCACGCCCCTTGTCATCGCGCCAACATCGCAGCGCGGACTTCGTCGGAAAACGATATAGGGTGGGCCCGGGGTGTCCTGGAGAAGTTCGCTCCGGATTTGGGGTCGAATTTCGTGTTGCTTATTTGGGGGGGCCAGGAAGGAAGGCCAAACGGAGTTCCGCGCGAAGTTGGCTCCGCTGCTCGCTCGCCGCCCCGGGCGCGCACAGCAAATCCACGCAGAGGAGTCCGCGGCAGCACGCCTGCCAGGCCGGCGCAGTCTGCCCTCTGGCGCTGCGGAAGTCGATTATAGTGGAGAGGAAGCATGCTGCCACACAGTTTCCTAGCTGTCTCAGAAATGTTTCAGACATGTTTCAGATATCAAAAGCATGTTTGACATATGTTTCAAACATGTTTTAGATATCAAAAACATGTTTGACATATGTTTCAAACATGTTTTAGACGTCAAAAGCATGCTTGGCGTATGGTTTGAGCATGTTTTACACACCTCAACACACACACATTTTCTGTTCCATGGCAGGAGTGTTAGGGTGCCCATTGCCATGGCATCCCCCACTCCGGCGCCCGCCCGCGCCAGGCCAAGGACTCCACCGCCGTGCTGGAGGCCTACGCCGCGGCGGCCGCGGCCGCGGCCGGCCCCGCGGGGGCGGCCGACGCGGACGCGCCCGCGTCCCCGCCGCAGGAGCCGGCCGCTCTCCCGCGGAAGGGCCTCGGAGGTCGCCAAGGGGCAACGTTAGGGTGAATCTAGGCCTCCTAGTCGGGGGAGAAAAAGATACGGATACGTGCTGTCCCCCGTCGTTTTCGGCCTTTCCTGGTCCTCCTGGGGAATCCTCGTTGTCACCGCTGGATTCGCCTCGAAATTCTGGTCAGAACGCACCCCAAGAGAGGTCTGGGGACAACACGTATCCGTATCTTTCCGCCCCCCAACCTAGATGGGGTCGAAGCAGGTGGGGTCGGAGGATCGCGCCGCATCGCCGATGCATCGCCGATGCGGCTGGATGTGGAGCCCGATTTGCTTCACTTCGACGTCGCCGATGCATCGCCCGCGTCGACGATGCATCGCCGGTGCATCGTCGATGCATTGCCGATGCATCGCCGATGCATCGCCGACGTACCGGCGATGCGGCGCGATCCTCCGACCCCATCCGCTCCGACCCCATATAGGAGGCCTCTAGCGAAGAGGCCGGCCACGTCTCGGGGGGCCCAAAGCCCAGACCTCCTCGAGCCATGACAAAAATCACGACGGGAGGTGTATCACTGTTTTTTCGGCCTCTGCGGGCCCTCACCGGGCCTCGGGCCCGTCAAGAAACGACTCGGGACGAAAAGCCGGTCCCGGGGAATGGGTCTGGACTTGTGGGGGTCGCGCCATGAAAAAAAAATCATGACGTCGGGGGTCTGGGAAGGGGGTCCAGCTGAAAGGGGGTGGTGCAAAAGTCAGGAGGGAGGAAACACACAGACACAATGCATCGTCGGCTCCCAAGAGAAAATGGGGGAGAATGTGGGAGGTGGGGGGGGAAGCCAAAACCCAGAAGATATGGGAAAATATGGTGAATCCTCTTATCTGTGTCTATGTATCTGTGTGTCCCAGGGCCCCTTCAAATAGATGTGGGGCAATTGTACTGCAAACGCATTGCGCCGGAGAATTGTTTTGCATTGTATTGCAAGTGATGCGTTGCACGCGAAGATCCAGCAATACATCTGCGCCCCAGAATGTACTGCACGCCCCAAGTGTATTGCAACCCCACAAATCTGTTGCACCAAATCTATTGCACCACCCCTTTGTCGCTGGACCCCCTTTTTGGGTCAACCCGAAACGATAGGGTTACGTCGGGCATGCCCCTGCACATGGGGAATATCCCCAAATAGTCAAAGAATCGTCAGGGGACGACTCTCTATCATTTTTCCGACATGTTTTGCATATGCTTTGACTATTTTTATTTTTTCTTCCTAAATCCGCCTGCAGGAGGACATGCCCGACGTAACGTTAGGGATAGGCTCAGGGGGGGCGACCGACTCGAGGCCCCCCAGGTTTTCGGGCGTCATCGTCGGTTCTCGAAGGTTCCCCGGCCTCGGGATGCTCTCCAGCAGCTGCGCCTCGCCGAGAGCGTTCGGGGGGGGCCCGGAAGATCCCATACCGCCGCCGGAGAGCCAAGGTATGACCCAAGAGCCACGGTGCAACGTTGGGGGGGCATAGGCTCAGAGGGTGATGCACTGACCCCCGATTTGCCCATGGATCGCCAGGGGGGGCCCGAGGGCCCCAGCCCGCCCAGGGGCGCTCGGTGTTGCAATCGGAGGCACACCGCCGATCCACTGGCGGTGCATCGCCGATGCGGGCTCGAGGCCTCCCCCCCTGAGCCGGTCCCCCCCGAACGTTGTCCCTCAGGTTTTCGTCGGCTGTTGGAGCTTTTCTCGCCTCGGGGTGCCCGGGGCGCGCCCGCGGCCCCTCGGCAGGAGCTCCTCCGCTCGCTCCCGGTAGGTTTTTTTCGCAGGGCGTCGTCGGCTGCTGGCGCTTCTCTTGCCTCGGGGTGCTCGCCAGCAGCTGCGCCTCGCCGAGAGCGTTCTGGGGTGCCCGAATCGCCCCCGACGGCCGCGAGAGGCCCGAGGGATGGCCCGAAGACCAGACACCCAAGGTGCAGACGAATGTCAAAGCGGATCATTGGGAAGACGTTGATTACGGCCAGTGCCGCCGGCCTCGACGGGAGACGACGAGGGAGACGACGGCGACGACGACGACGACGACGACGACGACGACGACGACGACGACGACGACGACGACGGCGGCGGCGGCGGCGGCGGCGGCGGCGGCGGCGGCGGCGACGATTCCGACGATTCCGACGCTCTCGAGCCCTTCTTGGGGCTCTATCGGGAGCCTACGGGGCTCCGTTGGGGCTCGCTGGGGGGACTTATGGGAAGCCCCGTGGCCACTTGGAACCGTCTCGGAGCAGAGCTGGGGCCCCCCGGAGACATGCGGGAAGACCAGACACTCAACGCCGAGACGAAGGTCAAAACGGACAAAGTTCGCCTCTGTCGGCCTGCGCGGCGCCGCCCTTGGGCCCTTGGAGGCCGTCGAGAACTGGCTCGCGAAAGCCGCCCCGTGGGGAGGCAGTCGGGATGCACGGGGGCCCACGTTGTGAGCAACAGCACGACCCCCCCTCCCCCTCCCCCCCCAGGAGCATCCATCGATCAGAAATAACTGATTTATATTAGAAAATCTGATCGAACTGATTTTATATTGTTTTTTCTGGGATCGGCCGGAAAAGCTAACATCGATCAGGAAATGTGGCATCGATCCAAATCTCTGATATCGACCAAAATTGCTGATATCGATCAGAATTTCTGATACCAGAGAACAGCGGAGGATCTGCCCCTCTCCTCGGAAGGCGGCGGACAGTGCAGGAAGGCCCACTGGGCCAGATGTCAGCGTGAGAGGGTGGATCGGTCTTACGCCGTCCCTGGGCGCACGCGACCCCCCCTCCCCCGCGACTCCTCTCCCCCCAGGGACCCACCATGTCGAAGGGCGTCTCGAAGACGAGGGCCCGCGCTTCGAAAAAGCATAAGAGGATGACGTATCTAAGCAGCGGAACGCAATCCTAATATCGCCTAGGGGGTGTCTCGTTTTCTTGGTCAGAATTGAAGGGGCGTCTCGTTTCCCATCGAGACGCTTGATTTTCGAGATGGTTGATTTCGAAACGCGTCTCGAAGACGCGGTGGATCTCGAGGCCGCACCGCCCACCCCTCACTATTATCCGCAACTGCGGGGGCTTATACATCATGAAGCCGTGGCGCAGTGGGGGCGCCCTGGTTGGAGTCGTAGGTGGAGCTCCCTATCAGGCCACGAAACGCGCGAAGGGCGTGCCGAACGCAATGCGGGCGACCTCGCTGGAGCCGTCCGTGGAGGCCCCCATGGGGCCACGCAGCGGGCGAGTATGAAGTGGCGGCGCCATCAGGGCGCCCTCGCTGGAGCCTTAGGTGGGGGCAAAACGAGCGAGAAACGCGCCGAGACAAAACGGTGGCGCCATGCGGGTGGAGCCGTATAGGTGGAGCTCCCGACAGGGCCGCGAAGCGTGTGAGGTCGTGCCAAAATAAAGGCGGTGGCGCCATGCGGGCGCCCCCGCACCATGAGGCTACGAACCGCGTGGGGGGGGCGTGCCGGCATTAGTGGCGCCATGCGAGTGGCTCACTGAAATCGCAGGTGGAGCTCTATATGAGGCTACGAAGAGCGCGATGGGTTTGCCGAAATTACGCGGTGGCGCCGTTCGGGCGCCCTCATTGAAGCCCTAGGTGGAACTCCTTATGAGGCTACGAAATGCGCGAGGGATGCGCCGAAATGAGGCGGTAGCGCCAAGCGGGCGCCCTCACTGGAGCCGTATATGGAACCCCCTTTTATGGGGCTGCGGAGCGCGCGAGGGGTGTGACAAAATCAAGCGGCCGCTATGCGGGCGGCGCCCTCACTGGAGCCGTAGGTGGAGCTCCTCTGGAGCTACGGGATGTTTGAGGGGTGTGTCGACATCAGGCGGTGGTGCCATGCGAGCGTCCTCGCTGGAGCCGTAGGTGGAGCTCCGAAACCTTCAAGGGGTGCGCCAGAATCGGCAAGCGGGTGCACAGGCCGAGGAGCGGAGGGGCGGGAGTGAGGAGGCGGAGGAGGAGACGCGGGGCACTGTGGATTCGAAAGTGTGCCCCGATGATGGCCCCAGAAGGTCCCGCGAAATGTCCATAACTCCTCCTCCAGCTCCAGCTCCAAATCCTCCTCCTCTTCCTCCGCCTCCTCCTTCTTTGACTTACATTTAGTACTCTTGTGTTCCGAAGTCCTCGTCGACACGCTCTCTCATTCGAAGGGTCGCGCGCAAGTGCGCGCATATCTCATTTTGGCCCAAGCTGCGTGGAGGGTGGTCTACACACATCAGCATCACATTTCGTCTGCTGTACGTATCATGCCCCCTTGTATCAGCGATGCAGATTGGGATTGGGTACTTGACCAATACATTGAGCACTGCCTTCCCAATAAAGTATTCATCCTTGGCGTGTATTTCAATAAGAAGAATTCTCATGCAGCGGATGGTAAAGGCTTGGCTGATCTAAAGCCTCTTCTCGCTCCGCTGCTGGCGAAGCAAAGTTGCGCAAAAGTCCTACCTACAGAGCCTGAAAAAGCAATCGTCCGGGCCTGCGACCGCCGCGGTCATCTGAAGATCACTCAGACGGGCAAATCACCAGAGGAGTTCGGCTTGTGGTTCCGCAAGAAGATCATCGTCATTTTGTACCACCTACGGCGCATTGCCGCATCAGACAAAAAGTGGGACGAGTGCACCCGCAAGTTGGGCGATGCCACAAAGGAAATACTGCGAGGACTGATCTCCAGGATTGACACTGCAACATTGGACGATGAGAACAACGGCAGCGATACGCCACCACCGAAGGCCAAGCGCGGCGTCGCTCTTACCGGGACCCCCAAACCCAAAAAACAACGTGAGTTGCAGCCGCAGCCCAGCTCGAGCAGCATGGGGAGCGCGGGCGAGGAGGCGTTCCTGAAGTCTGTGCGCGCTGGCACGGGTGATCCTCCAGATCTGCTGGCCGAGGCTGAAGCTGTGGCCTCCCGCCCGCTACCAGGTGCAGTGAGAGCACTGAAGATGTCCGTGGCTAAAAAACCAGCTGCAGCGCCATCCAATACGAAGGAGTCAGCCACTCTGGGCCCCATCAAATTGGGCACCTTCACGAAGGCATCCTACATCACGCAGTTCAGGGAGACGACTGGGAAGTGGCATTCTATTCTGAACATTGAGGGCAGTTGGATGGATCGCCAAGGTGCGAATTTCGAAGACCATAGAACCCTGGCAACCAAAATCTTCGAGCATGCAGCAACTTCCAATTGCAGTGCTGAGACGCTAGTGTCTTTACGGAACCAATGGGTACTCGAATTCGCCGAGGGGAAGAAGGCCCCAAAGCGCAAGCCTGCTTGCGCGCAGGCGGCAGAGACCTCGGTGGACACAGAGGGCGACGACGGCGAGGAGGAAGATGATGACAAAGAGGAGCACAGCTCAAGCGAGGCGGAGCACAAGCCTGAGGACCCTTTCGCAGATGATGATTTCTTCGGGTGACGCTTTCGCAGATGATGATGACCCTTTTGTAGTCCAGTGCCATGCGCGCGCACGCGTGCAGCCTAGTGACCGCCAGGTTCACCGTTTGGGAATGCATGCGTGCTCATGGAAAACGCAGAAGATGGGGGGATGCAGCGATGAATAATACAGGGGTGGGGGGCGGCACTCATGGGCGAGGGTTTCTCAGATTTCGAAGCCTCCTGCTTGATAATCAATGCGCACTTGGTGCGTGGCGTCGCGATTCATGTAACAGCGCCGCTGTTTCCTGAGATTTCGAAGGCCTTTCTCGGACAGTGGTTTACTGATTTCGCCCTTTTCGGAGACGAGGGAGACTAGTAGATAACCGTTGATGCGCATCCCGTCCGTAGCTGGTTTGGCTCAAGGAGTAACCCTAAGGTTTTCTATTTGGCACAATGCAATTCAAGCGAAGTCCTCTGGACCTTCCTGCTGTTCTGCAACCTTTGGTGCTCGCTTTGCTGCCCATCGTCGCGACGTGTGTGCAGCAGGTCCATGACAAATGCATGTCTCCGCTTGTCGTTGTGGAGTTCTTTTCTGGGATGGGCGCTATATTTCAAGCGTGCGATGTCTTGATGGGGAATTCGGCCGGATTCGATAAGAGCTACCACAAGCACCAAGATTTCCTCACAGAGCGCGGCATTGCCAACGCCGTGTTGCTGCTATGCCGCCTGGTTGATGGCGGCTTTGTTTGGGCCGCCCCTCAATGCAGCTCGTGGGTCTTTGTCGCTCGCAGCGGGACATCGCGAACTAAACGTAAGGCCGCTGGCGACCCTGGTGTCAGGAGGGTCAGAGATGGTAACAAAATGGTCGTGAATCTGGCTGGAGTGTTGGCACTCGCTTGGTGCATGGGCCACGATATCTTCATAGAGCAACCAAGCAGCTCATTGATGAGACATTTTGAACCCTTCACCACCTTGATCACGCAAGTTGCGACTGCAAAGTGCAGAACGTTTCTGGGTGCATTCGGAGCACGGACTGCCAAGCCAATCGATATTTTTTCGTCTAGCAAAGAAGTGTGCGCTTTAAAAAGAAAAGCGCCAAATAACTTGCCTCATCTAGCAATCACAACGAGCAAAGGAGCGAATGGAAAGCACAAGCCCTTGTCTTCGAGCCAAGCCTATCCATGCAAATTTGGCGCCGCAGTCTGTGCGCTGTTCAAGTCGATTGCGCAGAAGAGGACCAGCAATCTATTCTTCAAGACTGTTTTTTCTTCTCGGTAGACCATGGGTTCACGCTCTTGCACGCTTGAGTACAACGCGCTCAACAGAAATGTCTGCCTGTGACCTCTTGAGCACAGCCCCTTGTTGCGGACACGCCAATACATACTTCCGATGTTCGTGG